TAGGCTTGAGTCGGGCGTGTGCCTCTACAGGAGGAAATTCGAAGATAGTCAAGAATAGTCTGGGAATGATAGTTTTATTATTTTTCCCTCTCATCCTGTGGTGTTGGGTCCTCGTTTTGAAGAGACAGCGCCCCGCGTCTCCTCTCCTCTCCTCTCCTCTCCGTTCCCTTCCTCTCCTCTCCTCTCCTCACCTCTCTTCTCCACTCCTCTCCTCTCCTCTCCTCTCCTCTCCTCTCCTCTCCTCTCCCTCCTCCTCCCCCTCTTCCCCCTCCTCCCTCCTCCCATCCGCGTCGTCACCTCCCTGCGTTTCACCACAGGGACCCCATAGGGAGCCCCACCGAAGTGCCCAGGCGGCAGGGCTCGCACGCGTCCCCCCCCGCCCCATTTCGACTCGCCCCTCGCGCGGTCGTGGCCCGACAGTCAGGAGGGGAGAAAAAACACACAGACCCAATTAATCGTCGATCCCCCAGAAAATGTAGAAAAACATGGGAAGTGGGGGGGAGACAAACACCCTGAAAATATTGGAAAAGATGGGGAATCCTTTTTATTTCTGTGTATTTATTTGTGTGCCCCAAGGCCCCTTCAGACAGGGAGCCCCACCGAAGGGCCGCCCGGCGACACAGGCCGCATGCGCTCTCACCCGCCCGGGGCAGCGGCGCGTGGCCCCGAGAGGCAGCCGGGCAGCGCCGCGAAGCGCAGAGGCAGCCCCAGGGAGGACGACGTTATGATTTCAGGAGGGAAAAAAACACAAAGAGACACCATTAATCGTCGATCCCCAGGAAAATATAGGAAAATATGGCAAGTGGGGGGAAGACAAAAACCCAGAAACTATCGAAAAATACGGGGAGTCCATTTATTTGTGTGTATTTCTTTGTGTGTCCCAGGGCCCCTTCAATGATGTTTCTCTCCGGAGGCGGATCCTGGGAGTCCGCCGCTCTCGCTGTTCCGTTTCCCAGTATTTGGAGGCTCCGAGGCTGGGCATGTTCGATCATGTGGTGCAGGCTGGAGTGACCCGGGGATCTAGCTCACCTCGCGGGCGCGGCGATGATCCTGGCGGGCGCGTGTCGGCCTGGGCTGGGCGTGCTCTCCTCCAGGCGGCATCGCGAGGGCGCGAAGATAGCCGCGCATCGCGGGGCACCTGGAAGATTCGAGGCGAGGTACTTTCTAGCATGCGGTGCAGGTTCGTGCGACTTGGGGACCTCGGTCACCTCTCGGCAGAGAGACAGGATAATAAGCTGGGAAGAAAATGGAGACAAAACGGCCGCGCAAGGGGCTCAGGCCAAATCAACAAAACAACCGTGCAACACGCAATGGAAACGCAAAGGATGGAGAAAACGCTGAGAAGACACGAAGAACATCTGGCCACGCACGGGGCTTGGGCCACCGCGCCCCCCCCCTCCTCCGTCTCATATCCTTCGCGGTATTCGCGGCTGCATCTGGTTGGGTCTTTCGTCAAGCTAAGTTTAACTTTTTGGGGCTACCTTTGGATTTTGATTTATTACTTTGCGTCCAACATCCGCCTGTAAGAGGACACGCCCGACCTAATCCTAGATGAGGTCCGAGTAGATGGGGTCGGAGGATCGCTGCGCATCGCCGATGCATCGGCGACGCGGCGCGATGCGGAGCCCGACTTCCTTCACGCCGACGGCGCCAATGTATCGCCAACGTCGCCGAGGCATCGCCGATGCATCGGTGATGAATCGCCGATGCATCGCCGATGCGGCGCGATCCCCCGACCTCATCTACTCGGACCCCATCTAGGAGGCCTCTGAGACTCGTTGAGGTCGTCGAAGGACAAGCGCTTTCATGGCCAGGAGCTTTCGGCGCGCCGCCCTGGCGCTGGGTTACCCCATAGCGGCGCCTCCGGCGCCGCCCCTGACACGCTCCGCGCGGCAGGGAGGGGGATCCAGCGCGGCTCCAGGAAGCCCGCGCGGACCTGCAGGTGAGTCTGCTTCTGGGTCGGCGGTTTCTGCTCCTGTGTCGGCCTCTCTGGAGGCCCTCGCCGGGCCGCCGGGCTCCGGGATCGTTCAAGGGCGGCGGGTGAGGGTCGGAGGCGACGACAGGGGCGAATAGCCCAGGGGGAGGGGCAATACATGTATCCAGGGGCGCCTATGGTCTATGTCTTCGGCGAGGCTCCCAGGCGAATGCTTGTCATGCCCGCCCCTGGGCTGTTCGCCCCTATCGTCGCCCCCGAGAGGGAAGGCCTTCCTTGGGGCAGGGTTCGAGGCTTCCAGGGGCCCCCGTGCTCACAATCGGAATCAGGGCACGTCGGATCTCTGCAGTCGCTCACGCCGCGAGCCCCCTGCCGCATGCAGCGGGTCCACCGGGACGGCGCCCCGCAGCCGCGGGCGCTCGCTGCGTGCGGCGGCCCGAGGAGAAGTTCTTCTCCGTGTTCTACTGCTCCATCAACGTGGGCGCAGGCGCCTCCGCCGCCGGGGCACGTCCCCCGCCTCGGTCACCGAGCAGGGGCCCCAGGGACGGGCACCTCTCGAGGGGGCGGTGGACGCAGATGTTCCTGCAGATCTGGGCGTTGTCGCCTGGATTCGGCTCCCCGGGTCCGACCGGTCGATGCGGCTCGAAAAATGCCGCGGAGATCTCCAGTCGGTGGTTTCATACGTGAGTTTTCGTGTTGATTTGATTCGTGACGTCAGGTCTCAGTGGCTTCCTGCCTCCCTCGGGAAGATATCCGCAGCCTCCGCTCCTTCTCTCAGTCATCCAGGACATGTTTCCTACTCGTTTTTCGAGGGCACGTAGAGGGGAGCCAACACAGCTCGAGGCTGATAGTTTCCCCCTCCAAGGGCCATCCAGAGCGAGTTCCCCCTAGCCCCACCTCTGGCCCTGCCCCACCACGTCCGCCCGAGTTCTGATGAATACCAATTCCCAATGCAAGCAAGTATGTTTACGCTCGCGGTTTGAACCAGTCTGGAGGAGAACGATATGCAGAAAGAGAAGGGGGGCAGGGACATGAAAATTGGGAAGAGCAGGGGGAGGTGAGGGCAACGGAAGACAGAGTGGGGCATGACAGCGTTCTATGTGGCGGGAAGGGTGGACGAGGGAGAGAGGAGAGGGGGCTAGCAATGCGGGGAGCATGCGGATTTCGACACCGCTACTCCTCGAGCCTTTCTCTTGCCTGGGTTCTGACCAGAGTTTCGGTGCGAATCCCATCGTGGTGACGAGGAACGTGTGGGTATCGGTATGTTGTCGTCATCTGAGGCACGAGGGGACGAGGAAGAGAGAGTGGCAGACGAAGGAGAAGGCACAGAAGCGCAACCAGCAACAAGCAGGAGACAGGCAGCTGGCCAGGGGTGAGCGCCGATCCTGGCGCAGCACTCCTCGTGGTCGTCATTCTGCGCTCAGAGAGTCTTGTCGCGAGAGCTGGCGATGCGGTTTTCTCCACTGCGCGGCCCCAGAGGTACCGACCCCACCCATCGGGAGGTGTAGTTGTTCGTCCCTGGGCATGCTTTGATGGTCTAGGGGGCCCGATAGGGGCCAACCGATGAACCGGATCCCAGAGAGACCCAAGTCTTGGTTTGAAATATTCTCATGTCGTTTGGCATCTGGTTTCTGAGTGCAACAACTCCTTACGTATCCCTCTTCGTTTGAGAAACATCTGATGTCGTTTGACATCTGGCTTCAGTGTAACACACCCCCTACTTTGCCCTTCTCGTTGGCGCCAGCTTGCACTGGGCCGCGGTTGCCGCTGCGGTGGAGCGAAGGAGGCAGCCGGGGGAGTCGGATTTTTTGGGGGGGGGCGGGTCCCCCCCGGGACACCCCTGGGTCCGCCCCCCCCCCCCCCTATGCACCGGGGAAGGGGAAGGGCTTCCCTTCGACGTATTGACGACGTTCAATCAGTTGCTTGGCATGGTATGTGCAACGAAGAGGACTCTGCTGACGGAGAGCGGGAGAACGGTAAGTGGAAGCTGGATGCGGCTAGAGAAAGTCGAGCATGAAAGAAAACACGAGGCGAACGGAGAAGCCCCTCACACACGCCGACAGGGTCGGCAGCTGAAAGGGGGTGGTTCAATGGATTTTGGGCAAGTGTTTTGCAAATGTGCTGCGCCCGAGAATTGTATTGCATTGTATTGAAAGTGATGTGTTGCACGCGAAAATCTAGCAATCCATTTGCGTCTAGAAGTATATTGCACGTCGCCACATCTATTGCACGAATTTTATTGCACCAGCGAATTGTATTGCAATCGATTGCACCACATCTATGGCACTACCCGCTCTTCGATGGACTCCCTTTTGGGTCAACCCGAAGCTCGGCCATCCTCCCAGCCCCCGCGAAAGTTCGCCCCAGATCGGCCTTCCAATTGCCTCGTCCGGGCTGCCAGTGCCGTTCGCCGCGCAGCGATGCAGACCCCCCCCCCCCAGGGCTTACGACCCCCGACCCATGTGATGACCTGGCATCGCTCGGACGTGTGTTTTTTTTTTTTCGGCGAGAACCATCGAGGACCATCCTGGACCATCGAGCAACAAACAAAAAAAACACGCGCGACACCGAACCATGCACGGGAAATGGACGTCCGAGCCACGGCAAGATGAGCGCACACGGTGCCCCAGCCCGGGGCGCCAGGAGCTGCACACTGCAGGAGGCCTCTTCTGCACACCCCGGCGATGACGACGGCGGCTCGCTGGAGGCGTGGCCTACGGCTTCTTCACTACCTTCGCCGCGAGCGGCGGCCTCGGCGTCCCGAGAGACTACGGCTACTTCTCCGTGCGCCCCGCCGCGCCGGGCTCGTCGGCGTCGTCATCGCGCTCGTCGTCGCTGTCGGCGTCATCGTCGTCGTCGTCGTCTTTGTTGTCGTGTCCGTCGTCGTCGTCGTCGTTGTCGTCGTCGTCGTTCTTCTCGTGGCGGTTGCTTTCGCCTCCGGAGCCGCTCGATGTTGTTTGTGAGGGTGGGTGCCCCAGTCGTCCCGAGCGGCCGCCGGAGACTCGACGGACGCCCCGCAGGCCAGATTCCTCGCGTCGTCGTCGGGGTCACGACGGCATGCTTTCTGCCACTGTATGCCTTCTGGAACCCGCCGCGCCGCGCTTGTCGATGTCACCGTCGTCGTCGTCGTCGTCGTCGTCGTCGCCGTCGTCGTCTCCTTAGATCCGGGCGTCGCAATGTGTGCACTCCAGGCGTTTGCGCCCAGATTCGGGACCCAGGGCCTTCGAGAATCGGTGCGGCTAGAGAGCATGCCGCAAGAAGTTGAGCTCTGGTGCTTTAGTCGCAATGTGCGACGCGTCCTCCGCAGAACCCCTTGTCTAGTGATCAAATCCCGACGGTTGTTTGTTGTCGTCTCCAGCCTCTGTCGGACGTGACAGGGCACCAGGACCATGAACAGCGATGCAGGATGGAAAGCTAGTCTTCAGGAAGTGGTCGATAACGCTGGGGCGTCGTCGTCATCGCTGCTTTCGTCGTCATTCTCGTCGTCTTGCTCGTCGTTGTGTTTGTTCCCCTCGTCGTTCTAGTCCTCGTTCCCTTCGTCGCGCTCTCGTCGCCGTCCTCGTCGTCGTCATCGTTTTGGTCGGCGTCGCCGTCGTCGCCGTATGGCTGAGCAGGCTCTTCGTTATGTTCGGCCTCCAGGGGCCTGCTTCGGGCCCTGCCTGGGGCCCGAAAACTTACCCGGGATGGCTTCCTGACGGGGTCGGAGGGCCGATGTTGAGCGGATTTGGTTTGCGCGCTCGTCGTGTTGCGTTCGTTGTCGTCGTTCTTGTTTTTTGTCACCGTCTCCTCGTCGTCGCTCTCGTCTTCCCCGTTCTCGTCGGCCTCGTTCTCGTCGTCGTTCTCGTCGTTGGCCTCGGCATCATTGTTCTCGTCATCGTTCTCCTCGTCGTCGCCGCTGGGGTCGTCAATCTCGTCCTCGTTGTCGCCGTCGTCGTCATCGTCGTCGTCGTCGTCGTCGTTCGCGTCCTCGTCGTCGTCGTCGTCGGAGACGGCGGCGCCGATGGCGGCGGCGATCCGAAGCGCTGCGGGTGCCCTGCCTGGGCCGCCGAGGAGCTGCGAGCTGGCGATGACGACGACGACGCGCGCGCCCGCGCGCCCGTGTTTGCTCGACGTCACGGGCAGGGCTGGAACCTAAACGGTGGTTTGCTGGACTTCCACCGTGTGTTGTTCTTCGTTCTGGGAGGAGGTACTGGAAATCAGGTAGAGCAACACTGAGACAAAAAGCAGAGCGAAGACGCACCGAAGAACAACGTCTGCAGGTCCAGCCCTGGTCACGGGTGCCCTGTGGGCGGCTGTCTTCTGCCGGCCCGGCGAGGGCTGCGTATATTTACTCAGACCCTTTGTGGGCCCCGGAAACGGCAGGGCCGTTTTTTTTTACCGTTTCCAGAAGAATGCCCCTTGAAAAGGGAAACGGCAACAACAACCGCGACCAGAAACGGCAACAAAAAAACGGCTCCAGGATTGGAACCGCAGCCGGAACCGGTCAAAAAACGTCAAAAAACGGCAAAACAACTACAAAAAAACGGCAAAAGACGTCAAAAAACGTCAAAACAATTGCAAACAAAAACGGCCAACAAACCGAAACAAAAAACGGCAACAAAACTTCAAAAAACGTCGGCGGCCCCGCCGGCGTGCCCTCCGCGGGGCCGGCCCCGAGCACCCCCGGTGCGCCGCCGAGGCTACGCCCGAGGTGCGAGGACGCCGGCCGGGCCCCGCCCGGCCCCGGGTCCCCAGACCTCCTCGCGTCGTGAAAAAATCACGACGGGAGGTTTTTCGCTGTTTTCGCCCTCTGGGGGCCCTTGCCGGGCCTCGGGACCGTCAAAAAACGACTCAGGACGAAAAACCGGTCCCGGGGGAAGGGTCCAGACCTCTGGGAGTCGATGTCGTGAAAAAATCACGACGTCGGGGGTCTGGGTCCGGGGCTCCGCGCAAGGCGGGCCTGTCCCCACACCTCGGGGGTGGACAGAACCCCCCACAGTGACACGTCGATTAGTGAATTGTCCGTTTTCGGTTCTCGAGAGGGCGCCGCGGCCGTTATGTTCCAGGCTTGCGCCCGCCAGGTTTGGGCCTCAGGTCGTTTTCACTAAACCACGTTTTACTAAAGGGAGGTCTGTCCATCCCCGAACACCGGGGGATGCCAAAGATATTACCAGTCTGGAACATGTCCCTATCCCTATGCTGGGCACCTCCTCATCACGATGCCAATCTTGGGGATTCCCTTGTTTTTTGAGGGCGAATCCCTAAGATTGCCATCGCCTTTTGGCGTGTCAATCTTAGGGATAGGGATACGTTCGAGGCTGGTAAAGATAGGCAACACGTAGTCCGAGGACGCTGTTTTCATGAGTTGTTCACTCTACGTTTGGGCATTTGTTGGGCATTTGTTAATTTCATATTTCGTCCAGAGTCCGCCTGTAGGGGGACACACGCCCGACCTGAGGCTACGCTCGACGGCACGTATAGGAGTGACCCTTCGCCGGCGTGACCTTTGACGCGGGCCCACGGGTCTCTCGATCGCCGAGCTCAGGGCGGCAGTGGCGCCTCGCGCGTCTGTGTTTGCCCCCGCTTCCCCACCCCCGCCCGGCCCTCCAAAAGCCGCGCACCAAAGTCACTCTTACACAGGATCGCTCCGTGCGTGTAGCCGATACGCCATCCCAGCTGGGCCAGGGACCTATCATAGATCCGATCTCGAAAGTCTTCTCAATGCCCGGTCCTCATGCCCGACCCAGCCCCCCGGGGTCAGCTTTTCAGACGAGGAGTAGTTTTTGCTGCCGGTCCCGGATCCTGGTGAGAGCCCTGCAGAGGCCCCGAGATGGTGCAGCACGTCCACAGTCGCGCTTCCATGCGCTGCGGGTCCAGGGAGGCACAGGCACCCATCCTGGGCCCAGGATGGGCTCGGCCAGGGCCGTTGACACCGCATGCCCCCGATGAGAAAGTGCACCCCCCCTTCCCACGATCCTCAAGATTCTTCCGGGCCTCTTCCTGCTCCTGCTCCTGCTCCTCCTCCTCCTCCTCCTCCTCCTCGTTTGCTCCTCCTCCTCCTCCTCCTGCTCCTGCTCCTGCTCCTCCTCCTTTGCAGTCAAGTCAACCCTTTGCAGTCAGTCACAGTCCCTGCATCCTTACCTCGTATCCTTATGATACGAGCTGACTTGCGACCTGCTGGGAGAAGCTTGTTATCCCTTTTTTAATCACGCTAGAGCCCCGAATTTGATTACGGTGGAGACCCATGCCAAGAAGCACCCTGCGTGCCTCCAGGATGCCCTGGGGATCTTGTGTTTCGATGGCTTTGCGATTGAACGCGTGACGTTCCCAGGCCAAAAATCAATGGACGCATTGGGTTCTCAGGGTTGGGGTTCTTGTGGAAGGTCTCCTGTGGTCAAGCCCCCACTGCATCCCCACCCTGTGATTATTGGAGGCATAGGGTTAGGCGTTGGTGCTCAATCCATGCTCCTCGCCTCGCCTCCCTCCCCAGGGGTCTTTCTGACTCTTCCGGCTTAAATCGAACCGATTTCCGCGGCTGCCGATTCGAACCGGTTCGATCTGAAGATTCCGATTTGCGATTCCGATTTCGGCTTCGCCCGATCCGACTCTTGCCGATTCGATGTGGCAGCCGGCTGCGGCCGAGTTCTTGCCGATCCGGCTTCGCTCCGGCTCTTGGCTGGTTAAGGAGAAGACAAGGGGGAGGAGGAGAAGGGGGAGGAGAGAGGAGGAGGGAGGGTTGCCTAGAGGAAGGCTGGGAGGGAGGGAGGGAGGGAGGGAGGGAGGAGGAAGCAAGGAGGAGGAGAAAGAGGATGAGACAGGAAGAGGAGGAGGAGGAGGAGGAGCAGGAGGAGGAGGAGGAGGAGGAGGAGTAGGAGGAGAAGGGGGGAGGGAGGAGTAGGAGTAGCAGGGAGAGGGAGGCTCCCTCCCTCTGCGCCAGGCCTACCTCATCATGGCCTGCTGCATGCTGTGCGCCGTAGGCTCGCGCTCTGCCTCCCCCCTTCGGGGCGGGGGCGGCGGTCCGCCCGCGGCCAAGGCTCGTCCCGTTTCTCCCCCGACTCGCTTCGGTTCGATGTCGATGGCTGCCGATGCCGATTCGATCCGACTTTTGGGGGGGTCCGATTTGGGCTCCGACTTCTCCGTGGAGGCCTGCTGTGGCGTGCCGACGTGTCCGCCGATTCGGCTCCACCCGACTCGGCTGCCGAGTTTGTCCCGCCGATCCGATTCGCTCCGGTTCGCTTCGGTTCGGTCCCGGGCCCGCCTGCCCGCGGGACCGCGCAGGGCATCGGCCTCATGCGCCTTCTTGCCCCGGCATCCGCGCGCCGTGCAGTGAGCACCGAGGGGGAAAAGGTACCCCTATACCTCCACCCCTTCCCTGCTGCTCCCCTTCCTGGGCCTCCGGAGGCCAGAGGACGCTGCGCGAGGACGAGAAAGAGCCCGAGGAGCAGGGAGGGAGATGAGGACCAGGTGCCCATACCTCTACGCACGCTTCACCCATTTTCCCCTTTCTGGGCCTCCTCTCGGAGGCCCTCGTCGCCACCGCTGGATTCGCTCCGAAATTCCGGTCAGAACGCACCCCGGGAGAGGTCCGGGGAGTATCAGGAGCGACAGAAGGACGTACACGTACATGAATCCACGCTGGTTTCGAGAGTACGCATTGCACAAATGTTCGTATAGCGCGGCCGGTCTCGCGGATCGAGGGGCCGTGTTCATGTACATAGCTGGGCGCGTACGTCCTTTGTGGGCTCCCTAGAGTAGCGGTATCGGTCCCTTTTTGATTCTCCCCAGCAAGCACGGCGGAAGGTTTTGAGCACCCCACGGGGCAGTGGGACAGTGCGGGATGCAAGGCGCCAGTCCACGCCACCCTTGGGGAGCCACGTCGTGGACAGATCACGGCCGCATCGGGCGGGGCTGGGACGAGGAGCAATCCGTTCGAGAGCGTTCCATTTAACGCTTTCAGATCAGGAGCGAAAGAAGGACGTACATGTACATGAATCCACGCTGGTTTCGAGAGTTCGCATTGCGCGAATGTTCGTATCGCGCGGCAGGTCTCGAGGGTCAAGGGGCCGTGTTCATGTACATAGCTGGGCTCGTACGTCCTTTGTGGGCTCCCTATCAGAGCGCTCCGGAATGCTCCGAGAAGGCCGCGTCGCCCGATGTATCCTCCAGAGCCGCCGGATCTCAGAAATTCGGCCTCGCGCAGAGGAGGGCAGGGGGAGGGGGGAAGGCTTCTTAGGAGCACCCCTGCTTCTCGGAAGGCGCGGGCCTTGTCTGCAGATGTCAGGCCCGCGCCTTCTAAGAAGCAGCCTCCTTCTAAGACGCGTTCCCCCCTCCCCCTGCTCCACTATGCGCGCCGTCAAGAGTCGGGCGATCGCAAACACGGATCAAGGGGGCGTGCATTAGCGACGGGTCCCGCTTCCATGGAGAATCGCGGAGTTCCGCCGCCGAGAGAGGCGGCACCGGCCGCATTTTGGGGAGGACACCTCCCCCGATTCATGGATTTGGCGACCGCGCGCCACATCCACGGACCGCTAATCCATGTTTGTCGCGCCCCCGAAAGAGAATCCCGAGCTATATCCTCCCCCGAACTTCTCCTCTAGAAGGGGGTGACGACTAGGGGGGGGCGGATATCGTGGCGGGGGCCATGATGTCTACCCAGGTTTCACGCCGCCTCTTCTTTGTTCGGTGCGTCCCTGGCCCCCCTGCCCCTGGGCCGCGCACATGCCGCCGGCCAGGGTTTGCGCCCCCCCTCTTGGACGCCCCCCTCTCGGCCGCCCCCGATCTCGTCGCGCTGGCTTCGTCTTGCTCCGCCTGCCTGGGTGGAGCGCCGAGCGGACTGGGCTGTTTTGCCCACAGGGGGCGGCGCGGGGGTGCGAAGGCGGCCGCGCCTCGCGGGGCGCGGCGCGGGGGCCCACCTCCACAGGTTCACCCCCCCCCATCGGTCTCCCCCCCCCCGGGTCTGCCGCCCCAGGGGTTTCCCCCACCTGGTCTCCCACCCTATGGGTCTCCCCCCCCAGCAGTCTCCCCCCGCAGGTTTCCCCCCACCAGGTTTCCCCCTGGCATCGCTCGGGCGTGTGCGTTTTTTCTTCGGCGAGGACCATCGAGGAGCATCCTTGACCATTTGCCGAAAAAAACCCGCACGAAACCGAAAAAAGCATAGGGAATGGACGTCCAAGCGATGGCGAGATCAGTCTCCCCCCCCCCTAGCAGTCTCCCCCCCCATCGGTCTGCCCCATGGGCCTGCCCCCACAGGTCTGACGGTCTCCCCCCAGAGGTCTCCCCCCAGAAGAAGGCTCCCCCCCCCGAGGCCACCGGCAGGTGGTCCGCGGAGGCCAGAAAACGCTGCGCCCGGACGAGAAGGAGCAGGAGGAGGAGGAGGAGGAGGACGAGGATTGAGGAGGAGGAGGAGGAGGAGGAGGAGGAGGAGGAGGAGGAGGAGGAGGAGGAGGAGGAGGAGGGAGGAAGGAGTAAGGAGGAGGAGGAGGAGGAGGAGGAGGAAGAGCAGGAGGAGCAGGAGGGGGACGGGAGGGAGCGACCCAGAGGAGGAGAACGCACCCATGCCTCTACTCATCGCCTGTTTTCCCCTTTTGGGGGCCTCCTGGGAGGCCCTCGTTGCCACCGCTGGGTTCGCCTCGAAATCCTGGCCAGAACGCACCCCGGGAGAGGTCCAGGGAATGGCGGTATGGGTACCTTGCGATCTCCCCAGTGACGCCCTGGGTCCGCGAGGCCCAGCAGCTTGCCCGAGACAGAGGGGGGAGGGGAGAAGGTGAGGAGGAGGAGTGGAGGAGGAAGGATCGGGGAGAGGATGAGGAGGGCGGACGAGGGAGGGCATCAGTAATCAGAAGCGGCACCGAGGCTGATATTGCGAGGGAGGGATCGGTGGGGGGGTGGGGGGTGATCTGCCCAACCCGTCCGTCATCTGCCCCCTCAGTGTGGTTCTTCAGCTCGTTCGCTGCCTTTTTGGCGCCCTATCTCCTCCCGCGCTGGCTCCCCCTCTCTTCCCTTCTGGTGGTCGGCGCGTTGCTCATGGAGTTGGTGGCGGAGGGCCTCACTTGAGGTGGGGCCCCAAACGTAACCAGAGACACAGCCCAATCCTCATCCCTTCCTGATGCCGGGCGGTTCGCGTGCTTGACGCTCGAGCTTGACGCTCGATCTTATGGGTCGTTGCGCCGCAGGGTCGCAGAGGTGATACGGAGGAGGTGCGAGGAGAGGGGCGGGGGAAGAGCGGGTGAGAGGAGGAGGAGGAGCAGGAGGAGAAGGAGGAGGGGGAGGAGGAGGAGGAGGAGAAGGAGGGGGGCGAGGAGGAGGGTCGCGGATGAGGAGGAGGAGGAGCAGGCTGAGGAGGAGGTAGGCGGCGACCACGGCGGTGTCCGCCGGGACGACGAGGACGACGCAGGCCAGGACGGCGACCACGGCGCCGCTGAGAAAAGACAAAGGCCGACCTCAGCGACGCTGGTGGCCGCGTCGGCGGCGACGACGACGACGACGACGAGGACGACGACGACGCCGCCGACGACGACGACGACGACGACGGCGAGGACGACGACGACGCCGTCGACGACGAGGACGACGACGACGGCGACGACGACGACGACCACGACGACAACGACGCAAACGACGACAAGGACGACGACGGCGAGGACGACGAGGAGCACCGTGACTCGGCGGCGACGGCGCCCGGGTGCCCTCCCCCCTGCCGCGAGGCATCTGCTGGGCGGGCCGGCGCGGCTACCGCGTGCACCCATTGCTGAAGGCCCCCCGCCCCCGCCGCCGCCCCGCTGCCGGGGGGGGGGGGGAGATCGGTAGTTTCTCCTCCGCCTCCTCTTGCTCCTCCTTCTTCTCCTTCTCCTCCTCCTCCTCCTCCCTCCTCCTCCTCCTTCTCCTCCTTCTCCTTCTCATCCTCCCCCCTCCCCCCTCCTCCGCCTCCTCCGCCTCCTTCTCCGCCGCCTCCTCCTCCTCCACATCCCTCCTCCTCCTCCGCCTCCTCATCCTCCTCCTCATCCTCCTCCTCCGCCTCCTTCTCCTCCTCCGCCTCCTCCTCCTCCTCTTCCGGTCAACCCGCATGGTAAGGAGGGGGGGGGGAGGATCGGTGGTTCAACGATGGGGTCCTGAGGCATGAGGTCCTGCGACTACGGTCCCTGGCACACTCGGGTTATGAGCAACAATCACGGCGGGAGATGTTAGTTCGCTATGCTCTGCCTCTGTGGGCCCTGATTGGCCCTTTGGACCGTGAGACAACGGCTCAGGATGGAAAGCCAGTCCCCGGGAATGGGTCGAAAACTCTGGGGGTCGACGTGATGCGCAAGTCATGACGTCGGGAGTTTGGGGTAAGGATGGGCAACCTTCCCAAGGGTGCCCCTGCATCCTTGCTTCCTCGGTCCATCCTGGGCCGCGCCCCGCTCGAGAAGCCTCGAAGCGGACTTCTAAAGGCTCTATGCATCCTTATCGCGCATCCTTGTGGTGCACGGCGTGACTGCAGGAAGGAGTCCGCACGTGGGTCTGCACTATTTATTAAAGGCTCCTCGTCCTCGGGACCCCACCCCTCGGGGCCCCTGCACCACTGGCGCGGGGGAGCAGTCGGAGCCCGCGGCGTAGCGGGGGGCAGCGCCCACGGGGGTCGGCCAGGCTACTCGGGGCAGGCTTAGGTCGGGAATGTCCTCCTACAGGCGGATGGACTATTCTGGAATATTCCTCCTGCAGAGCGACGTGCCCGGCTCGAGGGCAGGCTTTCCCTCTCCGCTCTCCGCTGGCCCGGCTCGCGATCGGCCCCTGGCCGAGCTGGGCTTGGGCTGACCCGGCGTGGTGTCGGGGCCGGCCAACGTGGGGGGTGATGACGAGGGGGGCGGGCCTCCTGGCCGTAGCCAGGTTATTTCCCCAGATTTCACGGCGCAGCCTCTTGTTTTAATACGTCCCCGCCCTCACCCCCCCGGGCCGCGCACATGCCGCCGGCCATGCTTTGCGCCTCCCCTCTTGGGCGCCCTCCTGACCGCCCCCGAGTGCCGGGGCTCTCTGCAGTGCTTCTCATACAGACTGACAGCTGCAAGGCTCCGCGCCCTCAGTGAGGTCTGGAAGCGACAGGGCCGTTTCGTTACCAGTTCCGGTTTGCCGTTTTGATTATTGGTTCCGACGCCGCCTGTTTTACGGATCCGCCGCGGTTGGTTTGCCTGCTCCAGCTTTGGCTCCGATTCCGCAGCCGTGTTTCTTCCCGTTTCCGGTCGGTTTGTCTGTTACCGATTTGCTTCCGGCAACTGGTGAACAAGTCGGCTCTGCCGTCTACGGCGCCCACTAAGTTAGGTGTTCGATCACGGACCCCATGCTGAACGCAACCGTCCAGCTCTCGCACCGAAGACCGCTGGAAGCTGCCAAAGTCCGCCGGAAAAACCGCCGAAGTCCGCTGGAAGACCGCCGGAGGCAGCCCGCAGACAAGCCCATAGGGCAGCCCAGGAGCGAAGTGTAGCAAGGGGTCCATGGCCGAGCACGCAGCACTCCGCCTAGGCCCGCCCCCCGCACCTTGGGGCTTCACGCTCTGAGGGCGCCCCAGACGTCTGCGGCCCGGCGTCCCTCAGGAGGGGGAAAAAAACACACACACAGACACAATTCATCGCCGATCCCCAGGAAAATAGGGGAAAATATGGGAAATGGGGGGGAAGACAAAAACCCAGAAGATATCGGGAAGTGTGGGGAATCTTTTTATTTGTGTGTATTTATTTGTGTGTTTGTGGGCCCCTCCAGTCCCCGTTCCCTCGAAGAAGAAAAAACGCGATAAACAAACTGTTGGCGCTCCGCGCGGTGTTCTTGGAGCTGCGCTGGACCCCCCTCCCTGGCGTGCGGAGTGCGCCAGAGGCGGCGCCGGAGGCGCTTCCAGGGGGGGGGGGGGGGCCCAGCGCGGATCCAAGGAATCTGCGCGGAGCGTCAACAGTTTATTGTTTATGCCGTTTTCTTCTTCTGTTCCTTCGCGCCCCCCCTCACCGCCACGGTGCCCTGTTCGCACCGCACCAGCCCTGCCGAAGCCACGACGGCAACTGGCGAACAAGGCGCCGCCAATAGCTGGTGGTCTCCATCCTGCAATGGTTTCCTTTTGGGGTTCAGTC